TTGAAATTAATCCATGGGTCATTGAATTTAATTTACTTTATGAAATGAAAAAAGGCAAATCGGGAGATATGAAGCCATTTAACACATTTGTTGGTTCTATTTTTAAATGATTGAAATTAAAATTGGGGGTGCATCATTTTCTTGATGCTATTTTCAAACCAAAAATGATAAAAATTCTGAGCATAAATGCATTTTAATTGTGTGCTGTTAAAAATAAAACAAGACTGAAAATTTGTAGGGGAATCTGCCAAGACGCTTTGTGCATGGAACTTAAATGAATAAAATTATGATTTCTCTTTCTCTTCTATTCACAGGTACAAAACGATCGCCACTTCCTGCTCAAGTTGGCAGATCAGCATCATGTGAGCCTTATGGAAATTGAAGCGTACATCAAGCAGGTTATTGAAGACTTGCAGAAAAAGGGACAATTCGAGATTGAGCAGCTGCAGACGTGGCAGCTGGTCGAACGCGATTACATCAAGTCCCTGATTGCCGAATACAAGAATGGCCTGTCCACGGCGGAGTATGAGCAAAAGCTGCTGGCCGATCGCGCACATCTCAATCAGTTGGCGGATCAGTATCGTCTGAACGTGGAACAGATTGAGGAATGGATGATATCGGAGCTTAAGCGTCTGAGGGGCAATACAGAGACATCGCTGAAGACGCTCAGCGCCTGGCAAGTGTCGGAGCTGGAGCGTCTGCAGAATCTCCTCAAGGAGCAAACGCACATCAGCTATGTGGAGTTCGAATTGGAGCTGCAAAAGGAGCGCGAACGCTTGCAAAAGCTGGGCAATCAGTACTCGGTCAATGTAGAGGAGATTGAGCAGTGGCTGCGCCAACAGCTGATCAACCTGAAGACCACGGGCAATGCAAAGGTGGAGAACTTGAGCAAATGGCAGATTGCCGAACAGGAGCGTCTCATTGAGTTGTTGCTGAAGCACCAGCAGGATTTGAACTATGAGGATGTGGAGCGCGAGCTGCGCAAGGATCACGATCGCCTGGAAAGCCTCTCGCAAACGAATCACGTGAGCATTGAACAAGTCGACAATTGGCTGCACGACGAACTGCGTCGCCTGCAGAGCTCGGGTCTCGTACAATTCGAGCAGCAAACCCAATGGCAAAAGCAGATTAGCAACGGCTTCAACAATTGGCTCAAGCAGCAGCAGGATTCGACCACCTATCAGGAGTTCTTGGACTTCCTGAAGCGCGACAAGTCACGCCTTACTGGCATTGCCAATGACTATCATCTGACTGTGGAGCAGGTGGAGCAGTGGGTGCAAAAGGAGACGGCAAGACTCTCGCTGATTGGTGTCATTGAAAAGCCCCAGGATAATTTTCGCTATGAGGAGATTGTGAGCATTACGGATCAGCAAGGTGAGTCGCAGCCATGGAAGGACTATTTGGCCGCACGCCTGCGCAGCGAAACCCATCTGAAGCCCATGTCCTGGCAGGAGTTCCAGCTGTATTTGGTACGCAATCAGCCCAGCTATGAGCGGCTGGCACAGCAATATCACATTACCGTCGAGGATATCCATCTGTGGCTGCAGGAATCGGCCAGGCAGCTGGCCAACGAGGGTCTCATCACGGGCTCCCTGACTGTCGAGGAGTGGCAGCTGAAGGAGCAGCAGTATATTCAGGATCTGATCAATCAACAGCTGCGCCGGCGCCAAAAGTGGAGCATCGAGGAGCTCCAATTGAAGCTATTCAATGACCAGAAGCATTTGCTGGATGTGGTGCGTCAGTATCAAATAACCATTGAGGAGCTAAAGCTTTGGTACAAGAACGAACTGAAACGTCTATTGGATTTGCGTAAAATTGAGCGAGGCTTCGGCTTGCCCTGGCAAACAAAGGAATTGGAACGCATTTACCAGACCGTTGTGCGTCATCCCATCAATCGCAATGCATTGGAGCAGCTGCTGCTGCGCGATGTTTCCATACTGGCACCGCAGTACCGCGTGACAGTCGAGGAGCTGCGCGTCTTCATCCAGGAGAAATTGCAGCGTTTGGCTGACATGGGCCTCATTGTCGACAGCCAAGTTGTGGGCAGCGACTGGAAGGAGCAGGAGCGTCAGCGTTTGCGCCAAATTGGCTCCAGTGTAATCATTACCGATCAGGAGCTATTGGAGCTCATCTCATTGGACAACAACTATCAGAATGAGCTGGCGCGTCTCTATGGTGTGGGCCTGCATCAGCTGGCGCCCGTGCAGCGCATACATGTGGGCAACATGGCCAAGGAGCAACTGCTCGAGCAGCGTCGCCTCAATGTGCTCACCTCCTGGCAGCAAAAGGAGCGCGATCGTCTCTATGACTTCATTGGCACACAGAACATGACACTGCGCCAGCTGCGCGACTGGCAGCGTCAGGACGAGGAGAAGCTGCAAAGATTTGCCCAGCAATACCTGATATCTTTGCACGAACTCAAGGCCTGGCAGCTCAAGGAATTCGAACGCATCGCGGCCGTGGCTCGCTACTATGGCATGACTTTGACTGAACTACAGCAGTTCCGCGACGACGAGCTGCATTATCTGACCTATTTGAATCACCGCAAGCTGTTGCCAGAGTCCGAGGCACAGAGCTGGGAGAACAAGCAGCACTGGCGCCTGCAGAAGCTCCAGAGCAAGTACAGCAAGTACGGCCAGGAGCTGAGCATTTGGCGTCGCACTCTCTATCTGCTAAGTCAGGGACTGATCGATCTGCCCGCCGGTAATGGTGGCTATGTGATTGATCAGGGCACCACCAATTCTACCGCAGTGCAGAAGCCCGTTTTCTCCAAGGATCGCGGTGACCAGCCGCCGCATGTCTATGAGGACTCATATAACGAGGACGATGAGCCAGGTCTGGAGGGTGAAACCAAGGCACCTCTGCCATTGCCCATATCTTTAGTGTCCACACCGGCTCCGTTGCCCTATCAACGTGGCGGTGCACCAAGCGGCGCCAATGCAGGCTATGAATATCGTCGCACGGATTACACGTTCGATCTGCCCGTTGGCAGCGCCTCGGCAGCAGCCAGCGGCGGTCCGAGTGGCTCATCGGCCACGGCCAGCGCCAAATTGGGCAAATGGAGCCGTGCGGCGGGCGAGGAGCCTGCATCCCAGCAGCAAGTGCAGCTCGAGGACCTGGGCCAGCAGCAGCAGGTCGATCTGGGCTGGACGGACGATCAAGTGGATGGCGGACAGCAGCAGCTGCAGGAGGAAACTGACTGGAACGCCAACTATAAACTGGACGGCCAACAGCAGCAGCAATTGCTGGACGATACACAAGATTTGGGACAGCAACAGGTCGAGGACCTAGCTGGCCAGGGCTATGGCCACAGCTATGGCTCCAACTACGGTCAGCTGCAGCAGGCAAAGCCAGTTGAAACAACGGTAAGCTAAATCAAATATGGTACTAAACTCTCAGAAAAGGTTTTGACAATTCAAATTTTTTGGGGTTTTTTCAAATTGGTTTTTTTTTAATTCATGAAATATGAGATGGGAATATTTAAATGGGAATATTTAAATTATTTCCAAATGTTGTTTAGGATGTTCCAAAATTCTTTGATAGAGATTTAGTTCGGGTTCCTTTTACTTTAAATATATGACTTCCAGAGATTTTGAACTAGAATCATTGCTGGAGTCAAAAGTATTCTTATTTTCGCGCCAACACTTTAAAAACAATGTACAAATTCTCATCTTCAATTGCAGCCGCTGCCCAGCACGTTCGACAAATTTAAAAATAAGATAACCGGCATTTTCGGTTAGAACTCGATACTGCCATAAAGACTTAAGTGCATCAAAACCAACCGAAACGAGCCCAAAAAAAAAACGAATCACAAATGTGGATATACATTTTCTACAAACGTTTCTTTAATCAGTTTAGTTTAGTCTTTAAAGGAAAAGATTTTTGTCGGTCACAGTTGAACCGCAACCACTACTAAATATACATTTACATACATGTGTAATACTCGCTCTATAAGGACGTACCTTTGTATTTTGTTTGCATTTTCCCTAATAAACTTTGAAAATATAATTTTGCATTTAATGTGCACTACGCATAATCATAATCATCTGATTCATCAACTGCATTAAGCATAAATATCTAAAAACATAACGAACGCAGCATATATAATATAATATAACATGCAATTGCCATATAGTAGGTTCTTTGTTTCTCAAAATGCGTTAAAATCTGTGTAGCATAAGGTGCGTGGGTATTTGTTGTTATCAGAGTACAATATAATCATAAATATAGCTGCATTTAGTAAATATATCTATTGGTTGTTAGTAGGTTGCATCAGAGTACAATGTAATCATAAATATAGTAAATATATCTCATAACATAATAAAAGAGTGCATATAACTACGGAATTGCCGCATAGTAAATTCTTTGTATCTCAAATCCTTGTAGCGATATGCTTTTAAAGGCGTTAACATAGTTTTTGTATAGGGTATTTACTGTGAGGGTGTTTTCTGTACCAGAGGGAAAAGAAAGTGCATGTTCGCGAGGCACTTTTGTTTGAGATTCTTTCATGTTGTACACACTCTTGCATAGCACTAATACAAAGTTTACAGGTAACTTAATCTTTTTCATAGACATTTCGTATATGGAGAAGAAAAAACTTGTACTCTTCATACCCTTGCAGAGAACATGTTGTGAATAGTCGTACAGAGTGTAGTCGATATAGTCTTGCCCAGCTGCCTTATTCCTCAGCAATGAAGTTTCCTGAATGAAACAGTTCATAAATGTTTTTAACACTAATCGTTGTCGCTCAGATCGTATCACGATAAATGCTTATTTAGCCAAAAGAAAATCAGTTACATCAGGTTTAGTAAATCTTAGTAACATCAGACTAAAATAATTTAATATAGTAAGCAAAAGATTTTGTTTGTAAAACCCACTTTTAGATATCTGATCGAATTGCAAGATTTTTGGCAAATTCTTATCGAAGTACTGTATACTAATAGCTACTATAGATAGTATAAACAACTAAAATTAGCATTTAGTATTGTTAATCTTTCATGTATCTGCAAGGGTATCCAATCTTCGGCAAACCGAAGCAACGGTTTCTTTATGGTTTTCGCATTTTTGTAGGATAATCAAAACCTTTCTTAGACATTTCGTAAATGTTTCTTATTGCGAATCTTCCAAACATATCATAGAAATAATTTTTTTTTTTAAATTGTATTCTTTAAAATTCCATTATATGGAGCCTTTTGGAGCACCCCTCTATATTTTCTGTTTAGCTAAACATTGCTCACAGGTCCTTTGTAGGTCTCTTGTACATTATTTATACTCGCATTATATACACTGTTCCATGAATCAACTAATATGCATCTCCAATTCTGAGCCGTTGGCCACGCCGAAGTGTGACGCACGAAATTGTAAGCCTTCGCTAAGTTCCTCCACAGCCACGCCTACGCCAACAGCGCCCATGCTCAGGCCATCGCCAGTCTCCTGCAGGACATGATGCTTGAGCTGTTCAATTTGATGGAGCAGTTTTAGGGTCTCCTCATCCAAATTGTCGTCCTCCTGGCGCAGTTGCCTTTGCTGTTCCTGCTCTGCGTCAATGTCCCATTCGAGCGATTCGGGCGTCGATATGTGTGACCAGGAGTTCTGCGTCGAGGAGCAGCAGGAGGTGCGCGTAAAGGAGCCGCCATAACGGTGACCGCCCAGTCGCGCCTGACGTGCCGCCGCCGCATGCCGCCCATGGCTGGCGGCCAGCGAGGCTGCCGTCGTCAATTGGTCCAAGGAAGCGTAGCGCGGCTGCGTGGCCACCCTGGTGGGGGTGTCCTGCGGCGGCTGCTGTTCCTTTTGCTGTCGCTGCTGGTACTGCCGCAGCTGTGAATACTCGTGCTCCCATTCCAGGTCTAGCGAGGAGCTGGCTCGCGAACTGGACATGCGTGCATAGCTTTGCAGCTCCGTCTCCTTGCTGGGCGTCGTTGTGGGATTGAGCAGCTTGTGCACGTCCAGATTTTGCAGCTGTATATCCGCCAGGGCACTAGAAAATGTTGGGGGGTTGGTTTAGAAGGCTTAAAAGGTGAGCCGCTCATCAGCTCACCTGTCGTTCTGCAGCTTCGCATAGCTGGGCTGTTGCTCCCAGTATTTGTCCAGAAATTGTGGGCACTGCTGCTTCCGCTTGAACTTTAGTATGCGATAGACAAGGCCACGTCGCTGGCAGCGCTCACTGGCAGTCGAGAGCAGCTCCGCTTCCGGCTCATCTGTAGCTTCAGCTCTGGCTCTCGCCCTGGGACGACGCCTGCAAGAAGAACAATGCAATTTGTTAAGTCTGCTCTACGGGTCTTTGTTGGGGTATAGTAGGCATTTCTCAGTCAGTATGTGACATGTACTTTTTACTAGTGTAAATTCAAATATTTAAGCACATTCTATTTGTTTAAAATTGTTAAACAATTTCGCTGACAGCAAATATTTTTGAAAATTCATGCTGCAAAAAACTAATCGAAGAATATTTTTCTAGAAAATTTAAACAGGTTAATTGGATGTTTTAATAGGTCGGTTTTGTCTGGCATGTTTTAAGTTGGACTAATTTTTTTTGGTTTTTGTTTTTAGCCCTAGGCACGCTTGAAGTCTCAATATATATATGCCAATATCGAATTTTCTTACATAAATTGCGAAAGGGTATTAAATGCGTGTCACACTGCCTAGTCTAATCATTTGTGTTGTTTATGTAGAGGCATATGGCGAGTGAAGCCCCTTCCGGGCATTGTTTGTGGCAGGCAGCACGCACTCAAGCGTTGCATACTTTTAGGCTGTTGACCCTGCCGCGGGTCGCCGTTTGCCAGCGTTGGCTGTGTTGTCCGCAAATGTTGTTTGCCAATGCAATTTAAAGCCAAGACTCTGGCATAAAGCGTGTCGTTTAATGACGGAGTGCGCACACACGAATCGCGCTAATTACGGCCCCCTTGGGGCGGCAACCCCCCTTTAGGCTTCTATTGATTGCCAAGTCAGCAGCACGCTTATTGGATTTGCCGTGGCATAGCATACTTTTGTGTGCCACAAAGTAAACAGAATGCACTTTTAATTAACTGCACTATGCACTATGTGAATGGGACGAGACCCTTCGAGGGGGGCAGCTTACCAAAGACGCCAGCTGTTGGCGACGGTCGTAACGCAGCTTGTGGAGCTAACCGAGGAGGAAGACGACGAGGCTGTCGAGTTTGTGGCTGAGCTCGTGGCGGTGGCGGTAACGCAGCTGCTGAGGCATGAACCCATGCTCCAGGGCAGCTGATGCTGCTCCTGCTGCTCCTGCTGCTGCTGCTGCAAGGCCGCAAGGTATGCCACAGTTTTTGTTATGTTTTAGCTTTCGCTCCTTGTGACACGCCTCAAATTTCACGCTATTGTAGTTTCTTCTAGTTGCGTGCGGTTTAATTGACTCGCAGCGGGCGTCATGTTGCACCCACTTTTGACTTTTCAGTTTGTCTGGCTCTTGGGTTTCCCTGCTGGTTGTTGTTGTTCGTATTGCACTTGCATTGCTTGAGGTGAGCCTTGACCTTTGTCTGCTTTTCTCTTGCTCCTTTCTTTTTCGGCAATTGTCTGACCAACGCGTTTTTCAATGCTACTCCACACACACACGCACACACACACAAACAAACAAACACACACGCACACACACACACACAGAGTTGCGCGTAACTGTTTTGACTAAGTGTGGACGTCACTTGGTGACGCACCGCATGTTTCTACTGGCTTCCATTCGTATGTAAACTGAAACCGTCGAAACGCAGCGACAGAAACTTTCTGTTGTAGCCAGAGCTGACGGCTGCGGGGTGTGGGTCAACTTTTGACAGTCAGCTGTGCGCGGGCATTCGTTGTTTTTACCGTTTGCTTTTGCATCTGTCAGTTGCTGAAGTCAACAAGGATGTGTCAAGTGCCAAAGCTTCTGTTAACTGTCCAGAGTCAGTCAGCTTGCAAAGTTAAAAGCTTAGCAGCCGGACTGTTTAAGCTTTTGCATAGCTTTCGGGGTAATAGTGGTAAATTCTCATGTCTTAACATAGCGGTTGATAACAGTAATGGCTTAGCATAACTGCGAGGGGTGAGTAGTTAACATAGGGCTGTTGCTTTAACATGAATGTTATTTACTCTGTTCGCTCATGTTTGCTTGGGGTAACCAGGTTAGCAGAACAGTGTAAGAGACTTTATAATAACAGGAATGTTAAGCCATCATAACTGTTAATTTATTCACACAACTGTATAGTACTGGTACTAAGCGTTTATAACTAGTAAAGTAGTTTTCGTAATTTATATAAGAAATATACATAAATATCCACTCATTTCTAATGTGCAGATCCCCTTTTAAATGCATGCCTTGCTTTTTAAAAACAAACATTTTTCACACATTTTTCTCACATGTGAATCATAAAATTTCGACTTGCTATCAACATTTTAATGCATCTATCACGCCCACAAGCATTATGCTTAGGATATGAATCTTTCAAAGTACATTAAGATTTGGTACGCATTACAACCCCCAACATTTCTTAAAACTAGCAAGTGCATGTAAAACTAGAGACTGAAATGTTAAAGCACTGCAATATTTGTTTTAGTTTCGAATGCCATCTGTTAGAAGCCAGACATATATAAAGGAAGTCTGCTTTGTAGATCGGATGGTTTATTTAGTACACATGTAGCAGAAATTTCTTCTTTAAAAAACTTTGATCACTTTGCATGTTTAAATTGTAGCATGTTTGTTTCCATTATTCAAAAGTCTAGTTCAAACTTGAAACAACTAAAGTTGTCAGCACATGTTATGAATGTGTTTGGTGTACTTAAAACATAAATTGTTTTAACCGACTTTATTATGTAAAGTTTTCTCACTCAAATTTAAATATATAATTAAATTGAGCAAATTTCTGATACTTTTTGCTAACTAGAATTGAGTTTAATTTCCTGTTTAAGTTTTTAGTTGCATAATGCTTTATCAGCAATGGAATGCACTAGCTATTTGCAGCAATTATTTGTTGAAACCAAAGCTAGACAAATTGCATTTATTATTTATTTTTAGGACCCACAAGTTCACATTTACTAATAACTAACTAATTTATGTCATATGTGTAACTAAATAAATCAATTTTTGTTTCTAAAGGGTTCGCAAATCAATTTACTTTTCTCTAAGCTTATTATGACCATAATATTTTCTAATATGTGTACGTACATATATGTATTATATGATAAGTGAATTGGCTATCAAAAGGAATAATATAGCACATAGCACGATGCCATCTGCTTATCCAATCTGATTTTCTAAAACTGTATTGGGACCAAGTACCTTGATGGGCCGCCCCATAACATGACTTTGCCGAACCGACGAAGACCGACGATGGATTTTGTCTGCATTTCGTCTCGTAATGAACGGTACTCGGCCTCGACTTCGGCTTCGGCTGCTGCTGCTGCTGCTGCTGTTGCTGCTGCTGCTGATGCTGGGGGTTCGTTTGTTGCTTCGTTTCAGTGCCAAATCGGCTGTTGTTGTGCGCGGTTGTTCTGTGCTCGACGCTTTTGCTCTGAACGCTTCGCTTCTGTTATTAGAAGCGTGTTTGGTTTGTTGTTGTTTATCTGCAGCGGGCAACGAGAGTTGTTATCATAATATTATAATTGCAAGTGCAAGCTGCTGTTTATCAATTAATCATTATGTTATTTTAAGCAATTACTGCATCTATATTTATGTCCATAAATGTGCGTGTGTGTGCATTTGCCTGCTTGTGTGTGTGTGTGTGTGTGTGCCGGCGTCGGCGTGTCTGCCCTCTATCGTCTCTATCGCGTCTGCCTAATTAAGTTCTTGTGCAAATGATGCAAAAAAGATCAGCGACAAACATGAAAATGCGTCGCGTTGTCGTCTCGTTGTTTTATTTATAAATTGACTGCCTCTGCCCCGCTGCACCCACGACCCCTTCAACATTGACACGGTGAGTAATCAACACAAAACAAGTATCTCATCTAAGGCAACTAGATCGAAAGGACTATCTTTATTCCAAAAATTAATTTAAAAAAAAAAATACAACTCAATACTGATCATGGGTTCACGTTAGATCGCAACTAAATAAGTTAAGTTAAGTTAAGTAAGTCAACATTAAAAGCAAACAAACAACAAATTTATTATTTTTAAACAAATTTTTAGATAAAGTTATTCCAAAATCAGAAATTTAAGAGTTTCGTTGTGTTTAATAGATGAGATCATAAAATTGTTTAGCTATCCAAAGTTATGAGTTACGGAGAATATATAAGAAATTTTATAGAAGAGATTTAGCTGATCGTATGGGAAGCTAGAAATTATAGAAAAATTAAATCCATTTTAGAGGATTACAAATTCAAAATAAGTTAACTTGCCTAAGAACTTATATGGTTAACATATGGTTATGATTAATTGCACGTCCATATCAAAAGCCATATCGCTTTGAGGGTAAGCCTTTAGGACATGATAGAAAGGAAGCCAGCACACCTTTCTGAGACCCGAGCTTTTCTGCACGATCGAACCAAGTTCTGCCAGCTAGAATATTGGACTAGAGTCTCAAAAAGCGAAAGAGTCAAAAGGAGAAACAAGTCAGGTAGAAAATGTTTTAAAATAGAAAAAGAATAGCTGAATATCTCAAGAAGAATATATTTCTTCGGATAGAGGATTGCTGCTAAGACGTAGTCAAGGCGCAATATACCAGTAGATCGCAGACAAAGGACTGCAAAGGACTTAATACAATGGCAATGCACATTTACATACAAGAGCGAAGAACTGAAGCGATAGGGTATTTGAATTACAGTCGTATAAGCAAAATGTCCTTAAAACAATTTAATGCATGCTTCTAATAGATGAACATTTCATAACTTAAAAGAGGCCTAAAATTTTGATACTTCAGATTTGAGATTTGCATCTTGAATTTAGCAAAAAAAAAAATCATATATTTTTGTTTAGCTTAAGTCAATTTTGAAGATTCCACGATCTTTCATTGACTGAATGCTATAGATGGAAATTAACATAGAACAGAACAGAATTACTCGTAATTCCAACTGAAAGCAGCTGCCAGCTCGGTCACTCACACGCCCGCCAAGAACAGGCCCCCTTCCACACACACACACACACACACACACACACACACATAGACAACTCGCCCGTTTGCCACAGTGAGTTATTAAACACTTTTGCTGTCTGCTTTGTTTATTAATGCGTGCAGCAGCACCAAAGCGCTGCAAAATGTTGCCTTTTGTGCTTTGGCTTCGTTTTGTTGTTTATAGCACTGCTTCCGTTGCAGCAGCCCCTCCTCCCGCAATCCCCCATACCCCTTGGCAATGCTGATGTATTTAACTCCTTGGCAAGTTTTAGTACATCTGCAAAACTCTACGCATGAAAAATCAAGCACTGCATTCCTGAAAACTTAATCCCAACTTCTCCCCTAACAAATGTGGCAAATTTAACACTAGACTAGCCAAGGCGTTAAGTGCTCCATGTGCTGAGTGCTATTAAATTGTGTGTGTGTGCGTGTGTGCGTGTGTGTGTGTGTGTGTGTGTGCGTGCATATGTTTTGCAATTGTGGTTTAATGGCAGTTATAATAACTATTATTGCAATCGCATTGCGAAAATGCAGTCGAACGTTGAAAGAAAACTTGGAAAATATTTGCTGAAACGCACAGGAAATTAAATGGACAAATTATTAGTATAGTTGGCTGGGAAAATATTTTCAAATTGATATTACAAATGAAAGGCAATTTAAGGACATGCTTTGCTTTCAAGCTGACAAAATTTTATGTAACTATTTAGTTTTGTTTAATGTGGTTCCCCTTCGGCGTATATTTCAAGGCTAATCAAAAAATCAAATTACAATGCAGTACAAATCAGCATGATTGAAGCATGATCTGGCCTGGCAAGTGTTGATGTACTACATCAACGATTTTGCATAATATTCGAGGCGCGCATTGTCCTGCTCACAGGACAATAAGCACAACTGTTGGTATTTAACATATTTCATGCTCATTAAGTGTTACATTAAGTGCAAACACTTCGACTTTCACCGAAAAGGCCAACTGCCGGCGCCGCCAGGCAAAGCGGCAGCTTCCTGGCAAAACTGTTGCAATCTATACCCTGTAAATGTTGAATGATTAACATGGAGTAAACTGTTAAGAGAGCGTGTATGCCAGGCTGAAGTTATATTGAGAGTATGTTATTTCTTCTCTTATGCTTTTAAAGAATTTGTTTCCTAGACGAAAATGGTTGGCAAGCTCTGCGTACAGGGTATGTCCTAGTCGAGCAGGTGTCACTAGTCGGCACTGGCATGTTTTATTTTTTAATGCTGCTGTACATTGATGGCGATCAATTCTGTTGGCTGTGATTTAAGTGCGCGTAAATCTCTGCGGTGAAAAGTGGTGCCAGCTCCTTAGCCCTTGCCTTCTGCTCTGCCGATTCCTTTGCTCAGTGCTCCGGCTGGGCGGAGGCGCAGCTCGGTGCCTGCTTGGGGCTCAGACTCCGGTATATGCTGCATCGTTCATGGTCGGTTGCCGTTATTTGCATTTCATTTTTGCGTGCGGCGAGAGAAAATGTAAATTGATTTATTATGCACAAGCGACTGAATGCAGGACTTGGCAGAAGGCGGGTCCTGTACACGCAACGCCCCGCGGCCGACTGCTTGGCTGGCTTCCTGGCCAAAAGAATACAAGAAAAAATAAAAGATATATATATACAAAAAAAAAAGTGGCAAAAGTAGGTAAATCTTCAATTGAAGCTGCCGCGTGGCAGTTGCATTCTTGGCCAGCCTGCGGGGGCGTAAACATTGCTATTAATATTGATTTAAATGCGCTCACTGGAAGAGCGTGCGAGCGGGGGGGTTGGAGAGGGGTTGGGGGAAGGATAAATACTGTGCCCATTACGCTCGCTGCATGCTGCCGCTCCGCTCTGCTCTCTCTCTCTCTGTCTGTCTCTTTCTACCATTACTCACTGTCAGCGGCCATTCAAAGCCGACGGCACAGCGTTGACTTTTCGCTATTAGCCAAATTGCAAAAATCACGCGCTTAAAGTTCTTCAAGCAAATACAAAATAAAAAAATACAAAAACATGCAACAACAACCAGATAGAAACTGGTGCAACTTTCAGCCAGCCGCAAAGTATGCAACACAAAGCGAAATTCACGGAATGCCACGGAATAATAACTTTTGGCAATAATACAAAAAGCCTGCTGCATGCCAGCGTGTGGGCCGGATGCTTAACGGGGCGTGGCACTGCCTTGTACCAAATCGTTGGGCTGTGAACAAGTATTTTAAATATGCATAGTGCCGAGGTAGCCGGGGCATAGTGCACCCACTCTGGCGGCTAATAGACATGTCAAACGTGTAAGCATCTCGCTATTGCACTCACATATGTTGTCTACTCTTAGGCAAATTGCAAAGGGATGGAGAGGAGTGGGGGGAGGGGGGGGCTGTAAGCACAGCGACTTGAAGCCGCACCGAAATTCAATTAAGTTCACAAATTGATTTCAATAACTTAGACTAAAGACAAAACAAACAAGAGCCAAACAAAAAACAAAACAAACGCTGCGAGTAAACCACAACAGCTGCTGTTAAGAAAGCATCGCCAGCATTTTAATTGAAATGCATTCATATTGCGATAGAGCGAAAACTTGAATGGCAAAATAGTGAAGTCGACCCGAGTGCAGTGCAGTGCAGTGCAGGACGAGATCCAGAGCTACAGCTGACGGAGCAAATTGCTTTGCGCTTATGACACGAACAGACTAAAAGAAAATGTCAAATCGAAAGCATGCCTGAGTTGCTGCTCGATGAGCAGTTACCCTGGAAATAGTGTCCTTCTCATGGCTAACCAATTTGACTAGCTGCTTGAGCACAGCTTCTTTTAGACATTTGAGAAGGTATTTGAAGTATCAGAGCTCAAGTGTGAAATATGCGCGGAAGATTGTTAAACTTGGTGCTCTTTTTCCTATCCATATTCAATTTGAGATTCACGGATTTTCAATCCACCTTCCGCATGAAAAGCAGGTGAAAAACTGTGATATGCAACTCTTTTTATTTTGTATGCTTGCCTTACTTTATTTTAAGGCTTCAACGGATTTCATGGATTTAAATGCTAACTATTTACCATATTTTCATTTCCTACTGATATTTTTTTTAAGATATACCAACTTTTACTTTTCTCTCTCCAATAAGCATTACGTTTTTATTTATTATGTTTATTTAACTTTAGCTCGTACTGTGATCTCGCACGAGATTACATTTTCTTGTTCCTTTTGCGTCTTTTCCGTAAATGTTGCTAAACATAAAAAAAATGCGATGAAATTATTTCCTCTATACTTAATATAATTAGTACTCGAACACTTTTTGTATTCTGCTAATTACCTGTTAATTATTACAATTTCAATTAATTATTTTCTTACCCTTTTATATCTGGTATTTTGCACCTCTTCAGCAGCTGAAAAGGATTATTATTAAGTCATCAAAAATAGGGTATATGTGAGTGTGTTAGGGCAACGTGTAGCATCCCCTGGCATATATGCAAAAGCGAGGCAGAGCAAACGATGATGCCAAGGGAGTGTGTTTGGAGGGATTTGATGATGATGCCGATGATGATGATAATGATGATGATGATGGTCATGGCATTTGCAAAGGGGTGAGCTGTTAAGCGCTTTCCCAGTGCCGGACAACTGGCAGAGTTATTGGCCAGGGGTTGTCAAGGCCAGTTCATAATGTGCAGACGGTGCTTCATTTATCAGCAGGCGAGTTGATTAGCTGCCACCTGTGGCAAAAAAAGAAACCATGTATATCAATGTAAATGGTAGACAGATTCGAGAACAAATATGATATAATTAATGCATGCTAATTGGAAATCGGTACAAAACTCAGCATTAGATGTCAGGCACGTGCTGATTCCGTAGTTTAGCTACAGCAATTGGCCAGTGGGTACGTGTCGGAAGTAGCTGGGAGCTATGTTGAGCCAATGGACAGTGTCTGGGTCATGGAGTGACCTTTGGGTGTAGCTGGTGCTATGGGCTGTGCCCTTTGCCCCTACGAAGCGCGTGGCTTTTCATTTGTCTGCTGCGTTTTTATGACTTGAGCGTTATGTTTGTTTTATGCTTCGGTTTATTATTATTATTTGTGTTTTTTTTCATAGAATTTCCTTTTAATCCGCTTACGTCAGGCGAAATTCAATCAAGAATTTGCAGTGCTTTTTTTTTTCATTTTCCCCACCTCACTTTATGCCATTGTTGTTGTTGGCCTTGGACAAAGCAGCCTGTTTGGGTGGCAAATAAATCAGGAAAGACAGCTTTTAGGCGCTGTATTAAATGTACACAAATATTTAAGCAAATTGGAGCCTGTCCTTTAATTTAATAGCAAATTTATGTCTGCCATTGATCAAATATGCCATGACATTTCATAATTTCTTTTTCCGTCTATTTGCAGCACACACTCATAAAATAAAAGAGAATTTAAATTAATTAAATGCCCAACATTGAAATAAATCCAAGCATAAATCGCAGAGCGCTTAAAACTTGCAATTAATAAAAGAAAAAAAAAAACGTATTCATGTACATGTAATAAAAAGTGCATTAAGCGTTGATAAAAAGTGCGTGCTAATTGAAAAGTTTAAAGAACATTTACTGCATAATTTATATACACATTGGCCAGAAGACACTGTGTCCACAATTTCTTGGCAACATGTTGAGTCAATTCTACACGATACTCACAACTCTGCTCATATTGGAGACGTTGACAACTCTGGCGCTGAGCAGCGATGGCAATGTCGGCAGCGTTGGCGGCTCCACGGTCAACAATGGTGAGTCGAACGATTTTATAATAATTGTATTACATAATTGCATTCTGATAGACAATTTAGCGCCGGATTCCTCATAATATTTCCGGCAGCGCATTGAGTTTAATTATTTATATAATTGTATTACAATTATAACAAGTCAGCATTTGTTATTTAACATGTACATTTTAATCGATGTCAAGCGAGCGAACTAACTTAATTAATGGGCCACAAGACCAAAAAAGTTGACAAACGTTGCAACAAATAAAACTCGATATAGTTGTAGACATGAAATGAACAACAGAATCAAAGCACAAATGCGTCTGGCCCTTATCTGAAATCATGAGAATCGCATAGAAGAGCGAACTTTATAAATACGTGTTTTATAAAGTTTTAATGCAGTGATTAGATCAATACTAATTCATTTGGCTTAGCAAAGTTTCAGTGATTATAATTAGAAGGTTAGAAAGGGAAATTTCTGGTTCAGCAGTCCGCATACATAATATGTCCGTAACTAGCCAAGGGTCTGTTGGCTTCTCTCGTTCATCTATTTAATGTCCCTCAGGTTGTTGCGAAATTACTAGTCGATTATATTTATGGGTCTTTGAGGTTAATTTGAGATTCATTAGTTTCCCTATTGTAGTAATTAAAATTATCAGCTATAACTTTATGTTGATGCTCACTATTAAAACGTAACTAAAGATAAATATACCAATCATAACTCAAATGCCAACTTTTGGCCACTTCTTCAACACGCTCTCCCGCACGCTTGTTAGGCAAACTTAAGTCAACTGCTTGGCCATTGAAAACTTCATTAGACCGGCATCAAATGCTGTAGCTGTTGGTGCTGCTGCTGCTGCTGCTGCTGCCACCTAACAGAATTTGGCCAGAAGCTAAATCAAAATCACACCCGTAAAACTTTCTAGCTAATAAATGGTAGGAAAACTTTCTGGCCGGCTCGTTTGTCATTTGGGCCCGGGCAACGAGCGAAATAATTGTCAATTTGTTTGTAGGCGGGCAGGACAATGCCTGGCGGCAATAAAATTTATTTAAGTGGCCTCATAATTGTTAACAACAAGGCACAAAACAAACAAAAGGCCGCTGCAGCTGAAATGAGCAATTATTAAGCCATGAAAAATGTAAAACACAAAAAATTATATATAAGCAACAAAAACATGAGCCAAGTCAGCAAACATCATAATCAAGTTATTACTTTGGCACATATATAAATATGTATTATGTATATATCTATATATACTGCAGACGCAGTGCCAGTAGACGTGGCCGAGAACTGTAAGGCATGCAAAATGCTCAACAATGAAAATATTAATAACGTTAATGAAATTCTCATTTGCGTGTTGCGGCCGTGTGGAATGGGCACGGCGAGGGGGCTCGGGCAGAAAGAAACCGTCAGAGACAAACAAACAGTGGAGCCTGGCAATAATGCTAATGAGCAAATGTGTTTGTGCCGCGGCGAACAAGAAGGGGCCCGGTTGGTGAGCCGAGCAAAGCCAAGTGATATGCTGGGGTTAACTTAAATCCATGCCAGAGACATACGAAATTTGTATGTGTGCGTGCTTGCATACTTTTGGCCTGACAAGGCAAATGTTTGCGCCGCTAAATAGGCAACAAAAACTGAGTGCATGCGGAATGTGCGGGCGTGCCTGTGGGTGTGCATGTCTGCGAGTGTGTGTGTGTGTGCATGTCTGCGAGTGTGTGTTTGTGTGTGTGCGTGTGTGTGTGTATGTGTGTGTGTGTGTGTGCATGTCTGCGAGTGTGTGTGTGTGTGTGCATGTCTGCGAGTGTGTGTTTGTGTGTGTGTGTGTGTGTGTGTGTGTGTGTGTGTGTTCATTTGCATATGGTCAGCGGCATTTCGATGAGCACAGGAACTTTTTTCTCTAAATTCCTAATGAATTAGTTATGTGATTTTGATGACTTTTAAGTGGTTCCCCTCAAATGTGAGTGCGTGTGTGTGTGTGTTTATGCGTGGGTGTGCAGCTTGATGTGCCTGTAAATGTAAAGTTATCAACTAGAGTTCGATTGCAATTGCTGTAAATGCACTTCACATGCCAATTGGACTTTGGCTTTGACTTTGTGATTGTTCATCATTTATTTGTTAATCATATAAAAAAAAATGATATTTTTATACCCTGAACTCATTAAAAATGGGTATAAGGGTATATTGTATTTGTGCGAAAGCCGAATGTATGTAACAGGCAGAAGAAAGCATCTCTGACCCCATAAAGCATATATATTCTTGATCAGCATCAATAGCCGAGTCGATCTAGCCATGTCCGTCTGTCTGTCCGTCCGTATGTATGAATGCAAGGATCTCAGAACCTATAAGAGCTAGAGACTTGAAATTTTAGATTTAGATGCTCCTAGTTCCCGCGCAGATCGAGTTTGTTTCCGATAATCGATAACTTACTTCGTTTCCAAGCAATCGATAAAAATCGATAAAGATATCCTGTTATTTGTGCAATTATGCAACTTGACATATAGCTTCTAAAATAGAATATATATATATGCATTTGATGTTGGAAGAAGAGGGTTCAGGGTATCCCCTAGTCGGGAGCTCCCGACTAGAACCTCTTATTTGTTCCTTTTCCAAATTTGTTATTTTGGACATATGTGGAACTAAAATTGCTTGTTAAAATTATTAAAGTATATATTTATTTAGGCAAACAGAAACACAAATTAGTCAAGAAACATATTTTAAAGCATTTCTTGCCGGTTGCAAAATAAGTTTATCAAAGCATACAGGCAGCAATTTCTTTTACAAAAGTTCATCATCAGCGTTGTTTGTCAGTGAGCGATTGCTTCATGATTTGTTGAAAATATGTTAAAAACTTTTTACCTACTTTCAATTGGGCTAACAAGATTTGCCATAAATACTTGTTCGTCAAGCCAATTAGCCATGCGACTGAGATGGGAAAGGGGGAGGGGGGGCATTTGCCCAACTTGGGGAGAGCCCATGAAAACGTTTTGATTCAATCTCGCCAAATGTTTGACGCTCGCGTCAGCCCCCATTTAGAGTGTATCCTTCATAACTAGCAGCCATTAAGTGGCAGCCAAACGAGTTAGCCTTGGCAGCCGGTCTCGCGCTGCTGTCTTCTTCTCCTTCTTTCGCACACATGTGCATAACAATTATATAAACAATTACAAAGCAACGACAACAAACAGTAATGACAGCCAAGAGGATGTTGCCAGCGAGCAGCGGGAACAGGAAGCAGGAAAGTCAGTCAGGAAAAAATCAAATTTGTCAACTGTTAAAGTCGTTGTTGTAGTTGTTGTTGCTGTGGCGCTGTAAACACAATAAAAATTACACTTAATTTGGCATTTAAGTGGCGACAACAGCGACAACGACAAGGCTGACTCTCAAATGTTTTCCTTTGTTAGAAAGCCATAAAAAGGCGTTTGGGCGTGGCCAGCCCGCACACACACACACCCCATTTTCCGCCCATGTGTTAAGTGTCATTATGTAATGTGACATTCAAACAAAGAAGCGCGTGTGAAATGTGTTGATGGCTTTGTTGACATGTGAAAAGAAATGAAACTGGAAAAGAGCCCAGAGCAAGAAGTGCCCTCGAAAAAGTCAAGTGGTTATAACTATAACAAGAGCATACAGTGTTCGGGTGGAGGGAGCTGCATTCTGACACTCACGCACACACGCACACACACACAGACAATGTGAGTTATTTCCATAAGCAAAGATCATTTGTCAGCAGCCGGCAAAATGGGGGTGGCAGCGAAATCTGTGCTTTCCATTATGAAAACACTCAACAGCGACAGCTGAACGCGATAAGCAATGCATCCAAATGGTAGGGCACTTTAAAGAAGTGCCCCTCCTGCTGCTCAAGTGCCTGACTGGCCATAAAAATAAAATGCCTTCCGCTACACATCATCGTTTAATGGCTGGGAGGGCGTTGCCTTATCTGCTCTGATTAGCAATTAGCACGTGTCTTTTGGCTGGGCCACAATCCCGGTCGGCCAGCACTAACATTGAATTATTATGCTGAAGGTCAGCCACGTGGCAGCCGCAGTCGCAGACGCAGTCGCCAATGGACAGCCAAGTGCCATCTGGGCAGCGTCGGGCTTGTTGGACATGTCCCGCATGGACCGAGATTAATGATGTGCCCGGCATGCCACAGGCGTTGGGCATTATTAGCGTTGCGCATGTGGCAGAGGCCCATGGGCTGTCTCCGAGTGTCGGCCAGTGTGCAGCCGCATAAATCAAGTAGATTATCAGGTAGCGATAGTCAGAGCCAAGGATTTGCATATGAAATTTAGTTGACAGCCACAAGCAGTTAAGGATTTCGAATTTTTGCGCCCCACTTGCGGCAACACAGACAAATCTCCGTCTGGGACAATGGCAAGATGCTCGTTTTGTGGTACATTTTATCTCTTGGGCGTGTTATCCTGTTATCCTGCTGGCCAATTAGTCTCTAGTTTAATGAGAGAATATTGTGTGTGTCGGTCATTAGGGTTATATGCTGAATAGTGTGAATAGTACGAGATTATTACCGCCTCAGTTGGCTGGGCTCTTTAATTAAGACTATGTACATTTCCCTATGCAGTTATTATGTCTAAAAAGCGACGCTTAAATATATTTAATACATTAAATGTAATACCATTAAAATACACGTTTGTAATTATCTCATATAAACGTCTTTTAATTGCCAACATTATAAAATGCAGTTTAATAATAAAATAAAATAATACATTTTAATTTATATATAAATAAATATCAAATTATTAAGCTTTCTCGTTTATAATTCTAATAAATATTTTTTTAATTTGGAAATTAAAAAATTCATGAAATAAATTTACCTAATTCAAAAAGGCCCGCTCAAGCGAATTAGTGATCGCACTATAACTACTAGGGCGAATAATAATCGAAACAAACAAACCGATGATCGTGCTCAAAAGAACAGAGCAACAAAAAATTCAAACTGAAGCGCGCGAATGGAACGAACAAATGAACCGATAACCGATAATTATTCGTTAGGTTCGTTCTATTGAGC